TCACTTGGTTGCCCTCCATCAACTACAAGAAAAGAGTATAAATTCATACAAATCAGTAACTTCTTGCTTAAATTTGAATAATGCAAGCGGCGATTAAAACTTTGAGAGGAAGGTAAATTAAGGGATGAGTCAAAGCATGTTGAGATCAGGTATAGTTTGATGTATAATCTAAGATAAACGGTAAGAGTGCTTGGTTCTACGGGATTTTGTCTGATACGTAGACTCCTACTCCCAACAAGAAGATAACCAGCTCTAATTTTATGGATACCTGTCATTGCCACTGTCTGTCCATATGTTTGCACGATTAATTATGATCAATCATGTTCTTACTTGTACCTGTTCTAACTAGATATCTGATCAATTCTTTTGACACCCACTAGATGATTTAGTGGTTGTGGGTTTTTTTGATGCGGAAAGTTGTACCATTCAATTTCAGCTCATTCTATTAGTTTCACGTATCTCATATTTTGTTAATAAACCTGCAATATTTTGGTCTGGATACAGCCTCATCCTCTTCTATTTCAAAAAAATGCTAGTAACTCATGCGAAAGACGTTATGGAACGCTCTACAGTTCTCTGTTCTTTGTGGGACTTCGTTTTAGTTTGACCGCTTGCGTGAGGATCATGTCTGCCAGTCATAGCTGTTGAAGAAGATATTATTGATCAGGGTTAAAAAGGTTAAAGATGTTTTTCATGCTGATGTCTGGAATCATTCCAGCACGGATGAACATTTGTACAATGAGGACAAATAATCACAGCTAAACATTTTTACAAACGACAAATAAAAAATAAGCAGTACAGCTGAATACTCAGTGAAGAAAAATGCAGAACGGAGGACTTACAGGCTCTGCCATCACCGTTCTGGTGACTCCAGGTGCCACACAATTGGTTCGAATATTGTCTTTCGCCCACTCGCAAGCCAAATTTCTTGTCATCTGATTCATTGCTCCTGAAGGGGAAAAAATACAAACATCAGAAAAAACTTCTTTTGAGATGACAATCAATAAGACTCCATCTATACCTTTGGTTGCTGAATAAAGGGTAAGGTCATCTCCACCCAGTAGCCCAGCGATTGAGGAGATATTTACGATATTGCCTGCACCTGATGCCTTAAGAAAAGGGTAGGCAAGTTGACATAGATGGAATGGTGATTCAAAATTAGTAGCCATGATTGACGTATAGTCCTCAACAGTAGAATCATTAGCTTTCTTGTAAATTGCCATTGCCGCATTGTTAACCTGCAGAGGGACAAAAAGATTATATTTTTTCTCTTAAAAAATAAAAAACAATATATACAAGATAAAAATTCCTAGATACTTACAAGTATGTTGAGCTTTCCGTTGAATGCTAAAGAAACCTTCTCCATTAGTTTCTCTCGTTCAGATCGAGAAGATACATCACAAACAGATCCTATCACGCAAAGCTCTGATTTCTCCCACTGTCGTAGGCATTCGGTAAGTTCAGCTTCGTTTCGTGAACATGTGTACACTGTAGCCCCAAGCTCCGCTAGTTCTTGAACTATGGCGTGTCTAAAATAAAATCATGTGCAAATAATTATTTCAACAAACAAAAAAGTGGGGAGTTTTCCCTTTAAATATAGCTGGATGCAGGTAGAACCTAGATTTGATTTCGACCTGCATAAACTGAATTCATACCTCATCCTTTAATAATCGGTTCAGGTAGCCCATCTGTAGCCGATCTGTTTAATACACGAGTCAAGTAGCCCCACATCCATTTGTACAGAGTATTATTGTCAAGTACCGGTTTCCAAAATAACTAACTTTTTTGTGATTTTGCGGAAAAAACATAGGCGAATTGACCACTAAATTTTCAAACAACTCCAACTACAAACAATGTTCTTGCTGACATCCTTAATGACCACTAAATTTTCAAACAACTTCAATTACAAATAATGTTTTCGTAATCAACATTTAAAAAAGAAAATATAAATAAGTAGAAATCCAAATCAGATGATCTATTGTGCTATGTTTGAGTTGAGACTGGCAAGTATAACAACTGCATGACCGG